GTGAGCAGACTAAACCAGCTCGATAGCTGCCGGACAACCGAGCGAGAGGGATGACGGACAACAGTTCTCGCCGGGGGACAGTCGGGTTATTGTGCGTGCCCCGCAAATGTCTTGACCTCTGCAACGTCACGAGGAGATCCCCTATCGACGTGAAACCACAGAAAATGTCCATTGTACTTGAATACTCAGAGGGGAACGAACCCTTACTTTAAAACTAGATTAAAATATCTTAGACAACGCTCACCACTAATAATTGGTCAGAGGTGGCCCTGCATGCCGGGCTATCAAACAACACAAGCATCTCTACTTTCCAAATTTGGTGTCAGGGGTCCTTTAGGAATGTGGTTTGTTCATCTACTCAAGTATGCGATAGGTCTTCGACACCCATTGATGATATCTTATGCAATGTTGGTCTTGATGTGCGGGCAGGTGTTTACAACACTGAAACTGCTGATCATTGCCCAACATATTTGTTTTTGCCTCAGGATTGCATGACTCCCCTTTGCCAAAAAGTTATAAACAGTGCACAAGGGTAAACTATTCACGCATGGTTGAAATCCCGAACACTATACATGCTTTGGCTACCTATACAGTGAAAACGTTCACACTGAATGTCAAAACGTTATAGGCTGTATCACTCAGGATATAGAAAATTCTCGGTAGAATTCGAATCACAGCTATGAGCACGCTATATGTCCCTGGTTGAATGATAACATGCTGCTTTTATTAAAAATAAAGATTACTCTTACAATAAACTGGAACACAACAAAGCCAACAAGTATTCTAAAAGCCAGTTTAAGTTTTTCCGAAACAGTTATGTTAATTCGGAAAGCAAAAAAGGCTTACCACGCCAACCTAATTAAGCAGCAAAATGGTGATGGCAGGCAAATATAGAGAGTTGTTAGAAATGTAGTAGGAATAGAAGATAAACACTATATTAACCCAGCAAATATCTGTTCGCACTGCTTATCACTTTATTAATCACTTTTCGACAATTGGTGTGAGCATATACAAACAGTATACTTTAACAGTTGCGACAACCAGGCTTCAAGGATCTGTGAATGTGACTTTATTTTTGTGAAATAATACTTGATGAACCAACTAAAGGAAAGTTATCTGCAAATCCCAAAGGTATTCAGGTTAAGATCCTGAAAAACGATATCGATATCTTGAGCGGGGCCCACACGTTCAATTACGCTGTAGGCAAGAACTGTTACCCAGACGCATTGAAAGTTGGCAACGTCATTCCAGTGAACGAATCTGGTGACCGGAACCACCCAGGTAGTTATGAGCCAATAACTATTCTCAGTACAATGAGAAGCTTATTTGAAAAACTCATTGTGTGATAACTAAATGCATTTTTTTAAACAATAGCATTATCTGCCCGCAGCAGCATGGTTTCATTGCATTTGGATCTACTGCAACTGCCATTTCAACACTTTCACAATTCATTAACACTGCTATAAACAAGCTGGACATTGCAGTGTCAATATTTCTCAATGTAAGGAAGGCGTTCAACACAATCTGTCACGCTAGACAACTTTAAAAGTTATAGAGTCATACGGAGCTGTAGGAAATGGGCAGATGGGCCACTGCGTCATTGAATATTGGCGATGAGAGGCCGTTGACCTGAGGTCCGCCATGTAACTTTTTTGTTTTATGTTGACAAAAGTGTAAGTGCATGCCTAAATTCCATGAATGCAGCTTTAGTGAAGCGCTAGAATGAAAAAAGGCGTCGAATGGGTGACGCTTTGCACATTGATTACAGAGCAAGAATGAGTCAGCCCTCGACTGACTTCCACACAGAAGAAATAAAATATATGAATGTCTTCAACATAGACCCCCACATGCGCTGAATTTACACATGATGCTATAGAAGCTTTGTATGGACAGTTTTTCGTCTACAGTCGAATCTTGATAATTCGAACTTGAAGGGGCCTGAAAATTTGTTCGAATTAAACGAAGTTCCAAATAATGAAAGCTAAATACAGAGAGGGCTGGCTCTCCATGCAGTGGCGCATGTGCATTGGGCTAACACACGAGGGGGAAGTTTCAGAAGACTTACATTTAATCACAAATCACAGGACATCCGTTATTAGTTGAAGTAATCGGTGATGCTAGTCTGCACACGTTTGCTTTGCAGCGAGTCAATCAATTTCGCATGCAGCTTGCAAAGCATTTGTACTTCGGCTTCAGCATTCTCCTGGCAAAAGAGGTTGTGCGCGAAAATGTCCAGCGCCGACACTTTCTAAAGACGACCACAACAACGACTGCGTAGCGCAGCGGGGCCACTCCGCTATGCAGCCCCAGCATGGCCAGCACGTGACGAAAAAGGAGGAGCGTCTCCACGTGAAGAGAAGCAGATGGGCATTTGAGAGGACACCAACGCTCCATGGCATTGAAACGAAAAGGATTATGTGGCAGGGACGGGAAAGGAAGAAGCGTGGCACGAATTAACCTCGAATTAACTCGAATTAACCTCGAAAAATGCTCGAATTAACCGTCGCAAGTGCTTGTGCGTTCAAATCACCGGGCATTTTCGCCCATTGGAATACACATAGCTTTGACGGGGCCTTATTGTGAGTTCAAATTAACCGGAAGTTCAAATTAAGTGTGCTCAAATTAACGAGATTCGACTGTATTTCCTTTTCTGCAGCAGAGCCCTTTCAGCCGCTGTCTTGTTCTGTTTTCTTGCACACTACCTCCTTTCATGAAGGTTTCATCAACTGTACTAAAACCACAGAGAAAGAGACGACAGCATGTGCACACTTGAAAACAGTGAAGAATCACTTTAATCTGAGGGCAAGTTCGTACCAGTTGAATGCGCCGTTGCATTATTTTTTGGTTAATAGAACATTAAAAGAACTGTCCATCTGATGTGTGTATTATCTAGTGGCAAAATACTGCAGAGACTGAAAAGTAGGCAAAGATGTCCTCTCACTTCTGGAAAAGATTGGTGTTTCTAGTGACATAAGGACCATAAAAATGTGAGGATTCTTAAGCTTCACTCAAGAGTTGAACGCAATAGCGATATCCAGTCCCTAGAGCGAACTTCAACCACCTGTGCATTACTTTTTGTTGTATGATGTTACTCAAGAAGTTTAAATCGTGAGCTACTACCACCTAATCGATAAAGTTCTAAGTTGTTGTTTTGCATACAGCAGGATTCTGTGTAATGGGTAGCATGCTTTAAACCACGGGCAATCATGTGCGTGAAATCTTTTCAAACTTGCTATGCACCAACTACATACAGGTTAAGGGAATGGGTGCTGTATACTCCCTTTGTAGTGGGTGGCCAGCTTTAAACCATGAAGTCATTATGACAATCACATGTTCTGATGGCAATGTGCACTTGTACCACGCATCATTACGGTGACATTACATGTTGTATTGTGAAGCATGTATACAGGACAGATGTGCTTGTAAAGCATGAATCACTTTCACTACATTTCCAAGCAGAGAAAGTTATTTCCCCTTTGTTTTCAAGCAGTGACTTGGCTGAGTGATGGAACAGCTGCTTGCCGCCCTAACGGCCGGTGTTCAAAGCTCACTCGGACTTGGCATTTTTATTATTTATTTTAGTTGCCTCTTCCACAATTTTTCAGTCACGCACAAGATGATACTTTTGGCTCACAACCAAAGACACTGGAATTTCTGCAAAACGAACTCTCTAACGCCATCGCTTTAATACAAGTGAGCTCTTCCGATGCTTATGCAATAAAGAAAACCCGCGGATGAATGAGCTATCCGTCGGTGGTGCTAGCCGACTGCGAGAGACAATGCCTAGGTGCTAGATTGTGACTGAAGTGATTAAAGCATTCATGTGACACACTTTCGCCAATGCTCTTGTGCTGTCTTCTCATGCTCAATGCAATCTTTGAATAACATTGAAGCTGTGACATTCAGCATGTTCTTCTCTAGCTCCTCTGCTGCCCTTGTTTTAGCATAGCCAGAGGTAGAACACGGTGTGTGCGTTTGGGAGCAGTTCTGTGAGCAGGCAAAAGTGCTTTTTGTAGCAGGCTTAGAGCGGCCCAAAAAACTATTTGGAGCAGATTTGGAGCAGCCAGAAAGGCCTTTTCGAGCAAGTTTAGAAGAGTAAGAACATTCAGAGCAGATCAGTCCCATTCAAAGCCCTTGTGAAGCAACATCTGTTCAATGCTGCATTTTTCCAACACTCGGCTAAATTATGCAATAATCTCAATACTGCAATAAATGCCATACTTTATTTCTTTTCCGGGCACTGCCATCATGTTATAAAAAACGTTTCACCGGAATGGCGAAGGTGCGAATGCGATAGCAACGAATTGTAAGGCTGGCAGGCAATAACTCTACAAGAGAATGCAGCAGTGCCAGGGAGAGAGGCTCTTCTCGTAGTCTCTTCACGTTGAGAACGCAGCACGTAGAATGTTGCACGAGCTATTCGCACCAATGCCTGCCGTGATCACACGCGCATTGAGATCGCGACCACGCCCTTAGGATCAAAGTAAACGGCTGCGCAGGATGGTTCAGCACAGGATGGCACAGGTAAGCAAGTTTGGCGTGCAATAGCGCAAATGGCGCCGCTGTTCCACCCCTGCATAGCTTACGAAATGAGTCTAAATTGTGCTCTTCTACCTTCTTTTATGATGAATTCTTACAAACTATTTCTTCCAAGTGTAGAAGCTTGGGCTAGTTGGTCTGGGTTCGTGATGGTAAATTTCACAACACGCGAACATAGCAAAAAATGGGACGACAAAGTTTTAGTTTTAATAGTTACTCTATGTCTACTGAACCTAGTTATAGTTAAACTAGTCCTACTTTCTCTTGACGCAATCATGGCCCATATTAGGCAGAACTGGTCAAAAAAGATAATACAATGGAGAGAAACAACACAGCCCAACTTGGGACATTTTGGCAGAGGCCAACAACTGCACAAGTTCTGCTAGTTCAGGATGAAGTGGAACACATGAGGTGCCTTACGCTTTTGCAGGAAGCGTCTGTGTACTGCACACAACACATACCTTCAATTCACAGTCCTCATTCACTGCAATATTGCTTGGTTTCAGATCCTGCAAAAAGAAAGAAAGGAGATGCTCAATTGACTCCTGAAACAAGCTTGTGCTAGACAAGACCAAGCTGCCTATTGAGAGTACCCGGTACACCAATGCAAAAGGCAACAAGAGATTTGTGTTCAGTAATTACCCCTTTACGAATGAAACTTACACAAAAAACAGCGACACCAAGGAAACAAATCACAACAAAAGTGCAGTACTGTTGAAAATATACACATAAATAGGAAATTCCAAGACATATGGTTAAGATTACAGGTTGGTACTTAGAGTCAATCTCACGTTTATGCTAGTTCACCGATTACCTAGCCACACGTCACCAGACTTGTGAATGTAAAAGGCCCAAACAACCTCTCATGCGGTCCACAATTTTGCTTTGCCCTTCTTATTACCAACAAATGGAATAAAAACTCGCCCAACACTGTTCTAATTATACCTGCAGAAGTTGCAAGTACAGGTTTCCTCAGCAATAAATGACACTGCTTTAACAGAAATCTATGCAAGCGCCTCCTTAGAAATACTGAACAAAAAAATGAAGAAATGATGAAACCATCAATCTCTCGCTCAGACAAGACTTTTAGCCCATTTTACTCCTCCTGTACCTCATTGTTTCTAAAGCTTGACATATGTGACTAATTAAGACAATTATTTTGTCACAGACTTCAGAAGGTCATTTGGGTGTGGGCTGAGAGGAGGACTACTTCAAGTAGTTTCTGCCCACTAACATCTGTCCTATTGCCTCCTTCCCTTTAACAAGGGATAAATAAGGTTGTTCATTCATTCTCTTCATGTGCTACAGTTGGCTATGCTATACACCTACATTATGCCAAGTGACGACTGACAGCATACAAAAGTCGAGCCCTCCAAATGTTCTGCACTTAATGGGGCCATGACACGCAATTTTCAATGATAATCTGTGCTACGAGTTAACCCTTGAGCATTCACAAATAGGCTGTCAAAATTTTAGAAAATATGATCAAGCATTTCATTTTCAATTGAATATTTTAGTGAACAGGTGAGTGCCCCTTGAGTCGGGCAACACTGGCACACTTGCAAGCCATGACATAACGAGGAGCCAACTGTGTCAGCGTCTCCATTCCAGCGAACATGGTCAGCTGTGCGCCGAGTCGCAATAATTTAGCTTTCTCGAGCTTGGCACTGAAATTTAATCATTTGCAGTGGCTGAAAATTCAGCAAAAGACCCGTTCCTTTCAGCACATAATGTCACACACGCCACGGCAAAATGGCGGCCAGCAGTGGTGCGCGGCATTTATGGGTGGAGACGTATCTTTTCGAGGCCCTCTTTCGTGTCTGTATGGGCATAATTACACTCTACTCCTGGTATTCACTAAATTGCTGGGTAACTGCATCATGGCTCCTTAAAAGTAGCCTGAGCATCAGCTTCTGCACAATGCATTGTTAGCAGTGTTGAGAAGATAAACGTGCAACTCTGCTACTTAAAGGTAGCATATACAGCAGCACTATTTCAATGGTGAGAGGTGACGCAGGCACATAAGACACAACAATCGCTCTTCTTTGGGGCATGACGTTCTTAGTGGATGTCTCTCGTGGCAGGTGGCCTGAGAGGATAATTTCATGACTCTGTCCCACAAACTAACACGACAAGTTGAACGTTGGTGGCGCTGAATTTGTTTTACTTTGTGCAATTTTCCCACACACACACAACAACACAAATGTTGATTTGCGTGAATGTGTTTGATTAGCATGTAGTACGTCATTTGTCATATTTAAGGTTGTGCAAATATTTGAGAACTTGGAACGTTCCAACAAGTATTAATCTATACAAATTTATTTTGATTCAAATTAAATTATTGGACATTTCAAAGAAATAAATGAAAAGATGTAATTAGTCCACATATAACCCCCTGTTAAATGGTTTTGCTGCAATAAAGGGGTGCTATACTATGAATACGCCTTTCCAAAAAGAGATCTCTGCTGCCAGGAAGCCCCACTTCAAAAATAAATGAACATATTGTCCCCACATCGCTTATTTCTTTTTTAATTTTATAAGCCCGTTATACCGGCCTATATGCTTTAATTATAGTAAATTTTAACACCTAGAATATTTTACACATTATCCCTAGCTTTTTACGAAAAGCCAAATCCTGCTAACATTCAAAGTTGCTTCCACTTCCTTTGAACCAAAAAGAATGACTTTCACCATGTGACAGTTAAAAAAAAAATAGTGTGCACGTTAGTTGGGTCATGACAAATATGCTCATCTTTTTAATGTTAATAATATCTGGGGTTAAATGTCCCAAGCCATCATACGATTATGCGAGACGCCGTAGTGGAGGGCTCCGGAAATTTCAACGATCTGGTGCACCTAAATCTACGCACACATACCTCAAGCATTTTCGCCTCCATAAAAAATGCGACCGCCACAGCCGGGATTCGATCCCGAGGCCTGCAATGCTGGTTTTTCTTTATAACATGTGATATTACTATCTGAATTCAATTCAAACCTAAAATTACCTATTTGTGCAAACTTAGTTATGTTACATTAGCTGCTCATATAATTCAGCTATCACTGTTAATGAAAGAAAGAAGTAAATTTAAGGGCTCATTTCTCTTTCTTAGAATATTTATAAGAACTAACAGACAATGATGCCAAGAGAAGTACAGAAGATGTTGTTAAATGTAACTTTAATGCAAATGCAGTGCTGCCACCGAGGCCTTCTGTTTCGGAGCAAATTTCGGAGCAGCAAAATTTTACATTAAGATCACTTTGGAGCAGTAAAATTTTCTATGTTGGAGCTATCTAGAGCAGCAAAATTTTCCATCTTGGAGCAATCTAGAGCAACTAACTCCATATCCTGGAGGAAAAGCAAGTTGCATTTACATTCAAGGACACGAAAAATCATTCTGAGGCTCTTGTGAAGAGCCTGAAATGTTTAGATTCATTGCAAATTTCATGGAGCCAATCATCTTGAAAGCACTCCATATTTCACTTGATGATGCAAGAATAATGGCGTCATGCTGCTGTGGCGACGCAAAGCGGTGCTTCTGTGTGCGGTGCAGAGAACGCATGCGCCCGCACGAGAAAGTTATCTTCGAGAGGAAGGGTGATAATAAAAGTCAGTTGTTGTTTGGGACGCGAGTTGTTCACTTGCGCAGCTCTGCCGAGCGATGCGTCTCAACACTGCTGAGCATTCTGGAGAAACTTGTTCAGTGATTATTTCCGTAGCAAATAATCAGAATACTGGCTGAATAAAATTGTACTTCATGATATAACAATACAAATACAGTTAGGTGGCTATCAGCAGATATGGTAAGAAAAACGCTGTGACGTACAATGCTAAAGACTCAAGCAGTCCCGAGTGTATTTCCCTAAAATTATTTCAAGAATAAAAAAGGTTACTTTTCTTCACAACTGATTAGACTGCTGGGCGTAATATGACGTGATTCAGCTAGTCTCAGAAAGCCAACTTCCTCCGGCACTCATCTCTCTCTGCTGAAACTACACAATTTAGCAAACTTCATTTTTCCTTTAGCAGCAATATTTTATGTGGCTAGGCGTTCTGCCTATACTCCAAAAAACCCCTACCGTGTCCTCTAAAAACCAGTGAATAAAAAAAAGATCTCGCAGGATACCTTATGCATACGGCCAAGACAACTCGAAGGCAAGATCATTCTGTTTTTAAAAGAATAGGAATTCTATGGACATTCTTGACTGGTTCTTGCCGTTGCCAGGGGTGTAGCCAAAAATTTTTAAAAATAGGGGGGGGGGGGAGATGCACCCTGATCTAAAAGGGAGGGGGGAGGGGCAGGCAAAAAGTTACTTTGCACCATCGCCATGGCAAAAAAAAATTCAAAGAAAAGGGGGGGGGGCACATTTTCAATGTGCCCCTCCCTGGCTATGCCACTGGCCGTCATGTTTTGCATTGCGTAATATCTCAATCAATAACATCCCCCAGCACATCGTATTTTACACGTGGGTAAAAGCGCCCGAGTGGGAGTGACAAACGCCACTAAAGCAGAGATCAGAAGAGCCGGCTTATCACCTTTGCACTGAGGGGGGATGCGATAACATCACCCGCCTGCCAGGCCTACCAGGCCTCCCATCGATTGTTACTCAAGCTGAGAGGTACGCGCTGCCCCCAACATCACCCCGCCTGCCGGGCCTCCCATCGATTGTTACTTAAGCTGAGAGGAAGGCGCTGCCCCCGTATTCAAGGAACAGGAAGGAGCTAGAAGCGTGAGGTGGAGGAGGGTGTTGTTATGAACTTTGACTTTCAGGATGTGATTGCCTGGTGCACGCATTATTTATGGCTAGTATACTCTTCTACTCTGAACTCTCAACACGAACAGACTATGTGAAAAGTGCTTCACTTTCTAGAGCAGCCATATAACAGTATACGTTGTGGTGAAACACGAACGAAGACAACGAGAACAGCGCCAAATGCGGCACGCGGTGGCTAAAAAGAGAGCGCGTGATGGTGACGGCGAAAAAAAAGAAAAGAAGAAGCCAGAAGGTGGGAGCATGGCCATGCAGACAGACAGCGTTCAAGAGGCGACCCAGATTCCAGATGGCTACCCGGGACTACCACTGGGCAGCCTCCTGACTGGCCGCACTACTGTGACCGCTGGTGCCCCGGCCGTACGACTTCTGCCCAGTACCTGGCTGGTTCCTGAGCCGTCTCATGTCTACCTATCTGCGCGGCGATTCCGCCACCACTCACCCTGCTGCATCGCAAGCCGTACCTTGTCGTCTACGACTGGCTACTGAGGGTGACCTGCAGTAGAACAAGTGAGCGCTCACCTAGGACTGTATATACTCTTGTGTAGTGTGGGGGATCCCTTTCTGCTTGTGGGTGAAATATTGCGGGAGTTCGTTCGCTTTGTTAATATATGCATGTACTAGACGACGTCTCTGCCTCCTTTCTTCACCGCAAAGCACATGAATCAAAATGACGGTGCAATATCAACTCACTACATACACAATGAGCCTTGATCGCTAGGCCGCCACACCATTGTTG